CAGCCCCTCTGGGCAGCCTGGGCCAGGGCTCCGTCACCCTCAGAGGGAAGAAGTTCTTCCTCGGGTTCAGCTGGAGCTTCCTCTGCTCCAGTTTGTGCCCGTTGCCCCTTGCCCTGTCGCTGGGCACCACTGAAGAGTCCCCTGTTGGGACGCACGCTGAGGCCGCTCTCCTGGCACATCCACCGTTACCCCCTGCTCAGCCCAGCTCTGTGCCCCGTGGCTCCCCTCCCTCCCTGCCTCAGTTTCCCCTGCAGAAGGGCAGTGCTGGGAAACCTGAAGTCACGATCACCACGCCGGACTCGGACTCACCCACTTGGCACATCTTCAGCGGGCTGGGATCAGGCCATGAGAGCCCCTCGATGCCCCCAGGTTGGCAGCTGGATCCATTGGGGTCCTCACACGCCCGGGCAGGACGAGGGCTGGGACCGGGGCCAGGACCAGGCCACCGGAGCCACTCACGAGCCGCACCCCACTGCTGCTCCTATTCCTGTCGGACCAGCTCCCCGGGATGAACAACGGGGTAACTCCACCTTCACCCATCTCCGCAGCGGTGAAGCACAGCCCTGTCCCCACCCCTGTGCTCCCCGTGCTGCTGAGCTGGCGGCCACGCCGTGGCACGCTGTGCCATGCTGTGCTGATACACCGTGCCATGCCGACATGCCATGCCGTGCTGGTACACCATGCTGTGCCACCACATCCCCTTCCCCATCCATCCCCGCCATCTCCACCTCCCCAGGACACCCTAAAGCGACGGCAGCGGGCTGGGATCCGGCTGGACAGGTCCAAGGCCACGGGCTGAGGGTCCGGGAAGGGGCAGCCCCTGGGGTGGGATGCTGCCAGGCCGCGGGGCAGAGCCCAGCACCGTCACATACCAGGGATGGACCTGCAGAGAGGGAAAAGCAGAGGGGTCAGGGCTGGTGCTGGCTTCCCAGAGGGTGACTGGGAGGAGCCAGTTTGGTGGCAATCACCCTAACGAAGCTTCCAGGGAAGTTGGGGACAGCTGGGGACAACAGCTGGCCAAGGTGGCTGCGGGAAGGGCAACCCAGCTCTGCCCACACCGGGGGTGCTTTGGGGAGCCCTCCCTTGCTCGTGGGAGACCCCTGCTAAGCGACGCTCTCCGCAAAGCTGATTACAGACATGATGCACCAGTAATTTAATTACAGGGACAGCAATGGGGCCCTGGCTCCTGGGACTGGTCTGGGGAAGGGCTCGGTCCAGGCAGAAGCTCAGACACTCGTCCCTAACATCCCACCCGAGCCCCCCAGCCCTCTCCCACCCAGCAGCGCTGGCAGCTGAGCTCAGCACGGCACTGGTCCCCATCCTTCCCCTCTTTTGACCGGCGCACGGCCCTGCTGCACAGGCAGGGGGGAGAAGGGAAACCTCTCCCTGCTACAGCTTCAGGACAACGCCGGTCCGGCCGCTGCAGCCGCCCGTGGCACACGCACCGTCCCCGTCGCCGCTGCAGACCGGACGAGGCCGTCACACCCCACTTTCTCCAGGCAGAAGAGGAGATGCCCCCATTTCCCCCCGTGCCCTGGGCTAGGGCAGTGTCTACAAGCGCTTGAGCAAAGGGCAGCCAGAGGATTGCGCTGTAGGACATTGGAAAGGAGGAGCTGGATGCGAGTCGAATGACAACCGGAGTCTTTATTCCAACAGCCCCTTGGGATGTTTGCAGACGTACAGACACACGTACATATTTACACTCTTACACACCTCACAGAGCTTGAACCAATAAATTAAAACAAAAAGAGGGGGGGGGATTTTTTTTTTTTTTTTTTTTTTGGGAAAAGCTGTTTTAAGACCACAAAAAGTGCCACAGGACTCGGGCAGGGAGCCGGCTGGAGAATTGCAAACAGAAGCCAACACAGACACAACCCTGCCCCAGAAGATGCGATGACAGCGAGCGTGCTCCTCAGCACAAGGCCACTTCATACCCTGGCTTCGATGCACTCCAGTTTGACCATTTCGTCCAGCCTGCAGCCCTCGGTTTGGGCACAGTGGCTCAGGGGGGCACTTGGGCTCTCGGCACCTCGAGTGTTGGGGGTCTGTGGGCAGGCTGCCGCAGTCTGAGAGTGGGGGGAGTCGCACTCGTCCGAGGTGATGTCTGGCACGTCGTCCGACTGGCTGTCGGAGCTCTCCAGGTCGCTCCGTATGCTCTCAGGCTGGGCCAGGGTGATGTCCCAGGTTTTGCTGGCAACGCAGTCCTTTTGCTCACAGCTTTGGTGTTTGCACGTCTGCTCCTGCTCACCGTCCTCTTCCTCCTCCTCCTCTTCCTCATTCTCTGCCATTTGGGTGTGGACGTGCAGAGAGTCCTCTGTGCTGCTGCCGCTGGCCAGCTGGTAGTGACTTGGTTTGGCTTCGATGTCCACCTGGATCTCCATGTTATTGCACTCCCTGCAGAAACAACACCCTCACGTTACTGGGTACAGTTACTGGGTTTGACTGGGTCACCACCAGGCACTGTGTCACCGTGCTGGGAGGATCGCAGTTCCCAGACATGAGCAAGATGCTGCTCATCACCCCACGGCACCTGGGAAACAACAGCACTCGCTGCTCTCCTCCAGTCCTCTTAAGGGCAGCCAAGATCACCCCCAGGCCGAGCCAGGAAGCGAACTGGGAAAGCACCAGAGTCCCTGCGAGCAGCCGGGAACAGACCCTGAGAGTCCCGCGCTGCAGATCCCCTCCTCAGCCTCCACATCACGCATGAAAGCGGCTCCCAAGTTGCCCCCAGTCCTCCTCCCGTGCAAGTGAAAGGATCGATCCCCTTGCCAGCTACAGGGTAGCAGGCTGGTGCAACCATGGTCATCTCACCACCCACGGCAGCACCTCGCAGAGCACGGGTTTCTCCAGAACACCCCACTACCAACACTCTTCTCGCCATCACGCGTCCTCCTACCTGTCCTGGGGGTTGTAGGAGCTGATGATGGAACCAGCCATGGCTCGAGTGCTGGCGTTGTCACTGATAGCTCCCAAGCTGACCGAGTCTTTGGGGAAAATCTCCTTCTGGACATCTGCCTGAACTTCCAGCCTGCAGGAAAGAGAGGATTCCTCAGAAACGCCTTGGACGGTCCCCGCGGGGCACCAGACAGTCGCTGTTCATCACGGGAACGCAAGAAGCCCTCTGTGCCGGCCCAGCTCGGCACGACAGAGTTTAACCCCGATGGTTCCTCTCATTTAGTCTCATTTTTGGCTCCATTTAGGCAAATCCAGTCTGCTTTCCATGACGAAGGTAAAGTTGGGTTTCTATCTATGACTCACGCAATTCCTGCGAAGAACAGATTTCCACAGATCTAGCACGCAGCTGTGATTACATCCCTGGCTGCCGTATCAACACGTGTCTGCAATTACCCAGCAAACTGACTCACAGGCAAGGTTAGAGTTAGTGTAACCTCCCGACTTAGCAAGCAGGGCCACTGCGGAACAGGAAACATCAAAACCTGTAGGCTGGGAGCAGGGGACTGGAAGATCTCTCCTGCAGGCACCTGCGCTGTTCCCAATTCACCTGAAGCATCAGCTCAGCAGGGACAGAAATTCATTTATCTTCTGTCCTCCTTGCAAGAACCAGCCTGGCGCTGACTCCACAAGTAGCCTGGTCTGCTGGGAGCGGTTATTTTACAACAGACCAAGAAGTAAAAATACCACGACACAACTCTCAAGTCGAAGAAGCTCACAGTCCTGAAGTGCTCCCCAAAATCAACCTGCTCAACCAGCACAGGCCTTGGCAGCCTCCGCCCCGTTCTTGCTGTGCCCATCAGTTACCTGCTGTACTTCCCCTTGCCTCCCGAGAGGACACCACCACTCAGGGTGCCGCCCGAGAGCGCGGCGAAGCTGGCCGTCTCGCTGTAGTTGCCCTGCATCACGCTGAGCCCATCGGTGGGGCTGCCACAGGTGCTCAGCACGCTGGTCAGGCCCTCAATGCTGCTCTCGCCAATGCTGGGGTTCTTCAGGGCTCGCCAGGCATCAGCCACTGCGGGGAAGAAGAGCGCAGGGATCGGGATCAGCAAGGGAACCACGCGGCTGTGGTGGAGTTGGCAGAGCTGGGGGTCAGACAGCAGGCAGCGTGCGTCTCAGACTGCCTCTTCCAGGGCCAGGAAGTGCTGAGATGTTGCTCACAGTGATCACCAGCAGAAGACCGAAGCAGATAACTGCTTCCAGCCAAACCCAGGCAGAAAGAGATGTTTGGATTTGGAAAACGTTAAGACCCCCTACCATCTCAGTACAAGAGGCAATGACAGGGTCTTGCTCCACCCCCTTCCCTTCACCAGTTAACATATATTACCTGTGATAGGTCCATCATCTTCATCAAACTCAATTTTCACACCCTTTCCATTGGCGGTGCTAACTCCACAGCCACCGCCTCGGCACAGCGAGATCGGCACAACACCGTAGACGTAAGCCAGCATGATGGGGACTCCAATACCTGGAGAGTAGGATGCGCCGAGTTAAGAGGAGCTTAAGGCTGAGCTGTGTTGGGCAGACAGAAAGGACTCTTGGGGGTAGGGACTCCCTCTGTTGTGCTTACGCTGCTTTTAAGGGTCCTAGTTCACAACTGTGCAGACAGAGGAGGAGCTGTATCTCTGTGCTGCTGCAGTGCAGAATGAGGGAACCCTGCAAGCACAGCCAGCCTCAGCTGAAGCCCCAAGCCATCAGCCACCAAACCAGCCCACGGGCAAGAGGCAGCTCCATGGTCAAGGGACTCCACCACAGGCTGCAGCCCGGGCAACTGGTGCTGCAGACAAGCGCCATGCTGGCTCCAGACCAACTCAAGCACACGAGGACGTGCAGCCTGGACGTGAATCGGAGGGATGTGCCCAGCAGAGCACACAGCAGCAGCCTGCAAACTGCCCTTCGGCCACCCCCACCTCACCGGGCTGGGCTACCCATCTGTCTCGGTGACTGCTGGCCCACCAGGAGGGACAGGGACGGCGCCCACTCACCAACACTGACAGCAGCGATGACCGGAGAGGCAATGACAGACAAGGTGACCCCACCAGTAATGGCCAAGTTCCGCTTGTGCTTAGAGGTTTTCTTTCCCTCATACCTGCTGTGGATCTGATGGAGGAAGCAGCAGGTCAGAACAGAGTCTGGCCATGAGCAAACACCAGCAGAAGACATTAATAAGCTTGGGATTTTACAGCCTTGCCAGCTGTATTAGCCCTTGAAGAACCTCCTCTTGACCACAGATCTCCTCACAGATCAGATCTAGCAGGTGGCTCTGTGTTTAAGAAGAGCTACAAATACAGTGCTGGCATGCTGTTTGCCCCCTCTCAACACCTCTTCATCAGCACAGACACACAACAGTATCACACAGTTTGGGGCCGCAGGTCAGCATCAAAACATGAGTGACTTCTGCAAGCCAAAGTGCGATGCTCAGGGCCCAGCCACTGTCCTATAGAGCCCACCATCACAGGATGTGTTAAAAAGGGACCACGTTTCTCCTTGGGTGCTCCTGGTTCAAGGCAGAGGCACGAGAGTGATGCAAAATGCATCTGAGACGACTTCAGCCTGAAGGGCTACCAGCCACCACCTTCCCTCTCCCCACACAAAGCCCAAAACATAAGACAAGGTTTAGAAGTGACAACTGAATTTTGGTTCTAGGACAAGATCCACCCTTCATATCAGCTTGAAATTTCTGGTCAGATGCCTTGAGTACAGAGAACGCCCCAGATCCCTCAGCTCCAACCTTGTTCTCTCCACACGTACCTTCCTCCCGACATACACCGGGATGCCAATGACCATGGCAGGAATGGCAATGCCAGCAATGAGGGAAATGCCGACAGGAGCGCCGATCAATGTGCCCAGCTGCCAGAGAATCTTCTTTTTACGACTCCATGGCTTTTTGCCCCAGAACGTACAGCCAGAAGGGCTTAACGGAAGGGAAAAAATTGACATTACCACCACAGCAATTCCTAAGTGTTCCCGAGAACCCCACGTGCAACTTCCACATGAACAAAACCTAAGACTGAGGAAGTGGGTAGACAACGCAAAAAATGTTTCCCTGTTTTCCTCCCATCAAGATTAATTTGCTCATGAAGGTGATTATCACGCTAATGGGACTACGTTTAACATCCAGTATGCTAAGAGCTCTCAAATGCAATTGTATTAGGAGGAGCTTTTCTTGGTGTAGAAAAGCATCCCCTTACTGTAATGTGGGAAGAAAGTTCAGAATTTTGGGTCAGAAAGAAGAAAATTTTACTGAGCAATCAGAGAGGCAGGAGGGTAAAAGGCCAATGCAAGACCTGAACTCCTCCAGCCAGCCTCGGAGCAGCTCGTGCTACCCCGCAGGCATGAACGCGGGCGTGCTGCTCCCCTCCCCACCTGAGGTAATGCAGGTCCGAGATCTCCTTCATACACAGCCAGCAGAACTCGCAGCCGCACACCGCGCACGTCATGTGGTTACAGCTCCCGTCGTTCATCTTGATGATGTAGGCGCTGCAACGCGGGCACGGCTTGATGTCATCAGCTATGGGGAGGAAGCATGGGATTGAGTCGGACTCTGCTGCGAGTACGGAGAATCAATGAGGGGGATCTCGTTACGGATCGAAACCCTCGTTTTCTGTGAGGGCAGCACAGCTTTGCTAACCACAGATAAAGTGGGGGTGGTTGTGTCTTTAGGTTATCATCAGAGCGAGAAGATAATATTTATGAGGCAGATCTCACCAAAGCCATTTGCCTGAAGAGCAGCTACTGAGAGCAGCAGTGGCTTTAAAAGGCTTATCCTAGCCTTGCACGGGATGCGTTCCAGAACACAACGCTGGGAACAAGTCATACCCGCCCTGCGCCAGCCAAGGCAACAGCGTAACAATGAGCTATCACTAAATTGCTCCACTGAGGTGATTCATGGGCCGAGAACCACGGAACAACTGGGAGAACAAAGCCTCGGAGAAACTCCAAACCTGGCCAAAAGGGGAACGGGGTCTGCAGCCGCACAGCGGAGGCCGGTGCAGAGGCTGTCCAGTCCCCAGTTTGCTGCTGGCGGAGCAGGACAAGGATCCTTCATCCCCTCCTTAATTCACGCGTCACCCGATCGCGGTTACGCAACGGCTGCGCAGCGGGGTTCAGGGCTCTGCCGGCAGCCTCTGCAACACTCGACAACACGAACTCCAGCTGCTGAGACCAGCTCACACCTAATTAATCACAACACTGAATCCAGCAAGAAGGCGGTGGGGGAAAACCGCTGTCTCGAGAACCTCTCTTTCAGTGGCTAAGTGCTAAGCTCTTCCTGGCAGAGATCTCTTTTAAAAGGGTGTAAAAACTCAGAAACTGTTTTTTGCTTGCTGGTTTGTACCGCAGGCTGTGGTAGTATCTATGCTGTCCACTACCAGGGCCCTCTAACCGGGGCATGATGAACCCCGACATACCATGAAGCCACCTCTGAACCACCCACGGCAGCTCCATTCTAAGTAAGAGTACTAACATTTAAACTCCTGACACAGAAGGAAAAGCAGGGTGTTCTGTTTGGGGGTAGGGTGGGACATTATGCAGTGGCCTTACTGCCCACTGCCAGAGTCAATACAGTTATTTTTAACGAATGCTAACTCAGTAGACACAGCAGCAACTACCAGGCAGTCTGTGGGTTGGCATTTTTCTGTACCTGACATTACCAACACCTAACAGCGCACAGAGTGAGGCTCCCCACACTCAGCTAGGCATGAATGCCGCTCTTTACTACTGCAGCAGGCAAATCTGAAGCTGCAGGGGTAAGAAGTGCCTATTTGCTCAGAGTTCAGCTCACGAGAAGCGAGAACACCCAAGATCAAAACAGCCACAAGCCTAGCTGGGGCGGATGAGGGGAGCTGCTGTGACGGGGAAGGACCCAAAGCACATGGTCACCTACGTGATCTGGTTTGCATTCTTGGAGGAGCCAGCTGGATTTGTTCGAATGCACGTGAGAAGGGGAAAGGAGTTTCACAGCTGCTCTGAACCACGGCTGCCGGAGACCCTCTGCTGTGCCACGCAGCAGCAGGGCCGCTCTGACAGGAGAGGGGTTTGAAAGTGGCTCTTTCTCAGCTTCACAGGCATAACGACAGCACCGAGTAACCAAAAAACACGTGAATCCATACCCGGCCCGGATTCCTGTCCGTAACTGAGGCCCGACGTGTGCTTGGTCCGTACTCGGAGCGCCTGCGCCCTTTGCTGGCGGGCCATGTCGCAGGTTTGGTTGGGATGCCATATCTGCTTGCAGTGATAGCAGAACTCCGTCTGGCAGCCGTCCCTCTCGCAGGTCAGCGCTGCCTGAGCCGCTCTGCGCAAGGCAGCTGGCTGAAGGCAGCGCGACGCCGAGCGACGCGGCCTTTTACCCCTGGAGCCCGCAGCAACGTCGCCGGGCGGGGCAGGTCAGCCCACCTCTCCCATCTCATTTCCTTCAGCTCATTCCTGATCGCTGGCCATACAGCCGCCTGCACACTAGACAAATTCCAGCTCTCTCCAGTCCTGTGGCTTGCACTGCAGGGCCTGAAATCAAGCAGTGCTAATTGGGTTACTTGGGGCAGATCGCCATTTATACAGACAGCTTACAATATTGAGTTGTCTCCTCAATAACTGCTGGCAGTTCTCACTGTCAATTCACTCGCACCAGATCTGTCTTCCCGGTGTGCCTGGCTAACAGCTTGCTGCTTCTGCCGATTCCAGCTCACGCTGCTCTTTCCGGGCACCTGTGGCTGAACACCCCCCCTGCTTCCTTAGGACAGCGTATGGCTGGATGCCACCCAGCTGGATGCCACCCAGCTGGATGCCACCCGGCCCAGGGGAGCCCAGGAAAGTTGAGGCTGTCCCAGGCCCTTCTACCAACTGACAGATCCTAAGCAAGTGGATCAACAGGGGTTCCCACTATCTCGAGATAGCTGCACAGGGAGATTAAGATCTTGTTCATCCCCACAGAACGTCCTTTTTTAAAGAGCAGTGAAGAACAACGCTCTGCCTCTGGAGTAAGCCAGAACTGGAGTAAAACCAACTGAATGTGCAAGAAAGGGAGGCCTGGTTGATCCAGCTCTCTTTCTGATAGCAGCGTGACGCTTCCAGAAGGAAGCGTGCTGCGTACGCAAAACTCTAAGCAGCATCTCCAAGCACCGCTACAGGAGAGCGGACTCACAGTCGTCCAGGATGAGGTTGTTTCCACTAGCAGGGGCTGAAACGAGCAATTCCAGAAGTGCCTCCCAGTTCTGCGACATCAGTACGGCAAAGAGTATTTTTGTTGATCATCCTCAGTATTTTTGCTAGCAGTCAGAGGAGAATAATTCCTATTTAAGGTTTTATATTTAGAGCTTGTGTAGCTCAAGTTGTATTGCCTCTTCGCAGAGGCAGCGGCGTGAGAACCGCTGAATGTGTCATACCACAATGATTCATATCCCGTGGGAGTTTGAGCAACTTCATCCTGCCGGAGTACGACAGTCACCAAAGAAACAACATCTCCACGCCGAGCGCAGGGCCAGGAGGCACGACTACCGAGTCTCCGCGTGCATCAACGGCTGCGCACGCCTGCACGTGAAGCCAGTGCTGGAGGAGAGATGGGAGAGAGACAGCCTTGGGGTTTGGGAGGGACAAACAACCCACATGGACTCCTACGCCGCTTGGTTAGGGAAGACCCCGCTAAGCATCCGTACCCTGCCACTATCACACAGCCAAAGACCAACCCCTGGCAAAAAAACCAAAAAGGCTTCATTTGCCCAGCTGTGTTACGGCACGCTGCTACTTCAAACCATAACAGCGGGCTAGGAAAGCTCAGTGGAATATATTGAGCAACCCCATGCTCCAGATTAACCCCTCCCTAGAGACGTAGGGTTTTTCTAAACTCTCAAACAAATCCTACGAGAAATGAATATCGTCACCATTTATACTTTATTCCTAGAGCTGAAATGACAAATATCATGAACAAACACACAGCTGCGGGGAAACAAACTATGTGACTGTC